TGGCCGGCTGGTGGCGCCGGGGTGGGGTGGCAGTTTTCTGGTCGAAGCAGGCGGCCTCTACAACAGTTGCGCCTCTGCTATTTTGGTGTTCTACTAGTTGTTATTCTTCTTTTTTGGTCGTTCGTAGCCTCTGTGTCGTTGTGCTGCTCCGCCTTGGTGGAGTTAGGCGGTGTCCCGGGCCGTCTCGGACTTGTCCGTGTGGCGGGGTCGGTCCCCCACCCCTCCCTTTTTTTTTGGGGGCGGTGCCATCAGGTTTTTGCCGTTGTGATTTGCGTTTTCTACGTGTGCTGGTGGTGGTTGCGCTTTTGTTTGCGGCACCGCGCGTTGCGCTCTGGCTGCGAGCCTCTGCCTCCCATTGGTTTGGTTGGGCTGGCCCAGGTGCGGGGTTTTGGAACAAGATGCCCTTGGCAATGAGGGCCGCCTTCATATGTCGTCAGGGTGTGGAGTATATGAATTTGATGCAAAGAAACCAAACTCACTCACTAAATGTTTGAAGTGGGTGGTCTCCTTAAAAACCAAATTCTTTTTATTTTTATTTTCAATACATGCGTTCTTAGGAATGGCATTCCCCTTGGCGAAGTTTGGCCATCGAAAGTTGGAGCCGATGCTCATTATCCCCTATTCTTTTGAGGGAGGCAATGGGCCAGCAAATTCTCTTCTTGAGAGTTTACGGGTTCATNGAACATATTATGCTCCCGGGGTGCCCTTCCCAGCCCCACCCCCAGGGGTGAATTTTCAGTTTTGCGAGTGCCGTTGCGTTTCCAGCCTCCGTGCTCTACTGGGCCTCGTTACGGTGGTATTGGGGCGCATTTTCGCACACAAGCTAACCCTTGTGGGTGTTGGGTTGTTCCGGTGTTTTGGGTTGTGCCGGCCTGGTGGCGTCGCCGCCGCCGTCTGTCACAACTTTGGCCGGCTGGTGGCGCCGGGGTGGGGTGGCAGTTTTCCGGTCGAAGCAGGCGGCCTCTACAATAGTCGCGCCTCTGCTATTTTGGTGTTCTACTAGTTGTTATTCTTCTTTTGGTCGTTCGTAGCCTCTGTGTCGTTGTGCTGCTCCGCCTTGGAGGAGTTAGGCGGTGTCCCGGGCCGTCCCGGACTTGTCCGTGTGGCGGGGTTGGACCCCCACCCTTGTATTTTTTTGGTGGGTGCCAGGCGTGCCATCTGGTTTTTGCCGTCGTGATTTGTGTTTTCTACATGTGCTGGTGGCGGTTGCGCTTTTGTCTGCGGCACCGCGCGTTGCGCTCTGGCTGTGGGCCTCTGCCTCCCATGGGGTCGTGTGTTTCCTTTCTTTTTTATTGGCAACGTTGTGGGAAAAGAAGAGGTGAACCGGCATTCTGAGGGAAAAATAAAATAATAGTAATAAGGATAAATAAAGAGGTAATATGTGTGTGAGAGAGAGTAATTGTGTGTTGCCTCTGTTTGTAAAGATTGACATGCTTCAGTAGAAAAAACAAATTAAAAACAAATGATAATTGACAGCGTTGCGTGAAATCTCAATATACATAATTTAATAAAAAAACAAAAAAAAAGCATCTCACCTGGATTTTATACACATATACAGGCTACGTAGTTGGGTTTCTTTACATGTAATTCAAAACAATTCTCTTTTTTGTTATACATCACATCTCTCCTCACTTAACTTGATATTTGGAAGGAAAGGTTATTCTCGAAATCTCTTTCAGTTAACACCACTGTTACCCATGAGGGGTGAATGAGGGAAAGAGGGATTTGCCACCAGTGTAGAATACAAAAATTAATATTAAAAAATCACGAGAGTCTGGTTAGTGGAGATATATTTCTTTACTTTTTACTTTCTCTACAAATAACAACAACATCAATGGGAGAATTTACCCGAGTGAAGTATAAAATCAAAGTTATTTTTTTTCAGAAGTATAGAGTACCAAAAATAATACCCAAGGTACCAAGGCAAAGAAAAGAGTTGCTCCTGTTATTGGAGGTGGTGGTGCAAAGTGATCAAAGCATTTTATTTTTTGTTTTCTTCTCTTTGGGAAACCATTTATGCTTAATATGCGTATATACAGTTGAGATATCTCTTTTACATGCCTTTTTTCGGAAGGTGTGCCACATCAAAGTGTGCACTACTCGGGTCTGCACAGTGATCTCGCAACTCTTTAAAATTCTTTTGCCGTCTCTCTTCCTCCAGTCGCAGTTGTTCTCCCAGTCTCTGTTGCTGTCGCGATGTGCTTTTCATGTTACTTACCATGATGTCCAACATGCGGTGAATATCAGCTGCCCCTTCTCTTTTTATCGTCTCGCGTTT